CGTATAAAAGTTTACTGTCTCCAAGGAGGTTTCAATAAGTCCTTACGTAAAACTTAAATTTACGCCGCGTTCCAGAGAGGGACATAAAAAGCTTCTCTTTTGTTGAATAATTTGTTGTTACTGCTTTAAAAATAATTTCATTTACTTAAAACTATATATTTATTAAAGTATTTCTTAGGAAATTTTTTTCTAGTATAGCAGAATATAAGAAAAAAGGAGAAAAAGCTCCCCAAAACTCTAAGTATGGCTTATTCTGTCAACTAATATTCATGGTAAAGTCCTATTTCAAGGAAATTTTCTCATAAAATGTGTTTTGGAGACTCAATCCACTCAGAATATTTCATTATTAGTAATATTTCACTTAAATAGCAAGAAATTTTAACACATGAGAGTACTCACAAGGTCAAAGGTGCATGTACAGCTTCCTATATTAGGTGTAATACCACCATTGATTTTCCCCTATTAGTCTTTGTTAAATTTGCACTTTTCAAAAAATTGTGCAGAATTTATCTTTGTTTCAAATAAAGAAATACTTGGCATGAGTAAAGTTTGATCCTGTCCAGTACTATAGAAAAAATTTCACATAACATTTCATTGCATATAAGAAAATAACCATCACTGGAAGTTAACCAATCAAATTTTCCCCCTTTTTTAACCTGTATACAAGCTTTAGTAACCATGTAACCTCAAGTTTCCAAAATATTCTATAGAAACCCCAAATAAAAAAATAATGGTGCTTTGAAATACCCAAGATATATGTTTATGACCCCGAAATGTTTTACTGCAATGAAATGTAGGATCAATTACCTACAACTGTCAAATTCAAGGGAATATTTTTTTTCGACCTATTTTCGTATGCAACCGGATGTGACGTACTATGATTTGGTGGTATTACACCTATAAGGCGGCTTTATCCTAGAGCGTATCTGCTGAAGGTTATGTGACCTGAAACTTGCATTGCTTCATTTCGTAGTTTATGATTATAACTTAATGCAAATAATTACAACTTCATATGATATGAGCATAATGACGAAAACCAATAGAAAGAGGACATTGCGTACCCATTCAGAACACCTCTTTTAACTACTGATTTGTGTATTCATGTTGCTCAATCTTTAGTATATTGTTTTGTGGACTTTTGTTAATCTTTCCGTCGTTTTCCTTTATTTTAGTGTTGTCTGCCTTTCATCGACTTCTTATAGCTTCTGATTGTCCATTTCTGTTTCTTCATACCATAATTTATATTATTCTGAGAAGCATTTTTCTAACAAACGGGGTTAATGATTATTCTGGTCTATAATTACTCATTCCTCCAGTTTAATGCAATGTGTGTCTGACATTTTCTTTAAAGAGGTACCTTGCGATAGCATGTATGTTCATAAAATTATAAGATATATACAGAACTCGGCGATTATAAGTCGGATAGAGACAATATGTTTAAACACATAGCGAGTTAAACGTGAACTTCTTTGTATCATCTGTATTTTTATTTCAAATTTTACATTGAGGAATAAATACATATATGTCAGATAATGACCCATGTTTTAGTTTTGTTCCTTTTAGAAGATAAATCTTTTATTTGCTTATTTCAATTCATCTTGATTATTTATAAAGTGTTTTAATATGATCAAGCAGCTAAATCTCTTACATTGAAAAGTAAAGTGCCGTTTATAATGTTGCTCAAAAGTAATAATTGTAACTTCAATGTGACGTAATATTTAACATAAAGGATGTGACACTGCAGTGTAGAGGTTGAACTGTATCATCATTTCTGACTTTATATTCGTAAAATTTAGATTTTGTGTTTACAAGACGATTATAGGGTATTTGGTACTAAAGTGATCACCCTTAGCTGAAACAATTTAAAATGTTATCATTTGTCAATTTTCATTTTAACATCATAAAAGCTAACGCCATAAGTATTTTGCATGACTGTATTCAGTTCAGAAGGTACTGATTAAGATAAATGACTAAATTTAGGTTTAATTAAATCTCATAGTAAAATATCAAAGTATTTGTTTTATTTTTGTGTGCGAGATTATATCGTTGATGTTAGATTTGATAATAATTTTATGAGGTACCCACCCATTCAACCTACGAGGCAAATTTTGTACAACTGAGTAATCAGACCCTTATATATTATAGCTAAATACAGAATCGTAGGATACTAACTTGCCACGTACAACGAATGTCTATTTACCTATTTAATTTGTTACTCTTCAATTAAAAAGTTAAGAAAACCGAATACTAGTACTTTAATTGTATACGGATACTTTTAAGGTTTTCCTATTGGTTATGAGAAATAGCAATTAATGCTATCAATTAGAGTACTAGTGTGTCATTTGATACTTGAACTTCGACGAGCGTTAAAACACGTGGAAATGTATCTGTATTTTTTCTAGATTCTTGCGGAGTACTAATAGAGTAACATCATCATATACAATATATAATCATTTGCGTTTTACCGCATGGCTTGAGACTCTACAAAAGAAAGTTTTTTATGGGTGAAAACTGTAAACGTTTTACAGAACATTGGTATTGACAAAACAAACTCATCAAAGATACTAGGTTTTAATATTTTGGTACACCAGACGCACAAATGAATGAATATGACCGTATGAATGATATGGTATTTCCTGTCAACACATAATTGCTGACTACTGGGCTGGTGATACCATCGAGGACGAAACGTCTACAAGCAGTGTCATCGACCAAGTTGTTGTAATAAACTCATCATGGATAAGACTTATAATTTGGTTTGACACACTCGCGTTTCATCTTCATTATACTCTTCAGTGACATTTGAATAAAAAACAAGTTGAAAGGAAAAAAAAAGAACTAAGTTAAAGAGCATTGAGAACCCAAAATTCCACAAAGTGTCACCAAATACGGCAGAGTAATCTATGCTTGGGGTAGAAAATCTATACAGTTTGCTGATAACTATTTTAATAATGACCGCATTAATGATATTTCATGTAAACACAGAAGTGCTGGCTATTAGGCTGGTGGCATCAACCAGGTGCTGTAATAAATTCATAAAAGATACTAGAACGATAATTTGGTTAATTTTAAGTTAATTTAATGATAAAGATGTACTAAGACTAAGGTTGCAAATCACTAATGAGAAGTTGATCTTATGAAGTTTTGTCTATGTGTATGACTTGTAGTTTGTAAGCTCCCTCACGTTTTCTATTTTATTTTTTTAAACCTCATAAAGTGGGCCGCTAGAAGGACCAATATTCCAGACGAGTTTTTAAAAAACTATTAACATACTTTAATCAATATAACGATATAACGTGCAAGTCTAATGATGTTTCATGTAGCTATTGTTTGCATTTTTATATTAACACCCAAAAATTGCGTTTGAAAGTCTATCATAATGGATTAAGTATAAAATATTATCTCGTTTGGTTAATATTTTCAAACCGTGGGACTTTAATGCATTTAAGAATATTGGTATTAGCGTAAAGGTTTTGACTCCTATTTGTCTGCTTCCTGCACTTAAATTTGGTGTTAACACGGTATCTGTATAAAGTTTAACTCAGCACAGTATGTTCTGTGAATATGTATGTGAAAATATATTGATTCAATCAGAAAACACCATCTCTAAGCCCGTATGCATTAATACTGTGCTAATATCCTTGATTAATCGACGATGAAAGCCAACACTCAACTAATGAATTCTTTATCGTTATAAAACTTGGGTGACCGAGAGGTCTAAGGACCTGGACTCAGTATTGCCGGTTGTGTCGTTGGTTTCTGAACAGCTTGATTTTTGAATAACGTTGTCGGAACGATATACACTTGCAAGTGTAAAAATGAAATTCCAACATTGTTGACTGTTGGATTCAAGGCGAGAAAAAAAACCTGCATAATTAAAGGCAACAGTTGTATACCACTGTTCAATAATTCGATTAAACGTGGTTTCTAAATAATTGTTTTATATGAAAAATTATAATTGTCATGTGGTCTTTATGTTTTCTTATACTTAAATAAGAACTTTTAAAATATGATCTATCAAGTTATGGTGAAATCATAGAATTTCCAAAATCAGTTTATTTACCTTTTTATTTTTTGATTTATGTATTTGAAAGTATCTTATTTAACAAGCAGCATTCTGTTTCAATATTAAGATTTCATTCTCTCGGAAATCTTTGCTGCTATTCTTTTTAAGCTACATATATAACTTATATAAATCATTGAAAGTCTTAAACTATAGATAAATAGGCTAACCTATCCAAAAATCTTGCATTGGATAGCCAAACATTTTTGAAATAGCTCAGCATTGTAGAAAAAAATTGGGTAATAAATTCATTATTCAAAAAAAGAGTAAGGCCTGAATTTTTTGTCACAAAAACTATTACTGACCATTTGACAAATTATAGAGAAAAAAACCATTTAAAAATAAAAACGGAAATACAAAATGGCGATGACATCAGGTCCTTCAGCATTCAGTGTTTTGGTTTTGGACCCTCCTCTAAAAATTCTAATTATTTTGATAGAACACCTTTATTTTATTACACAATTGTTAACCTGTTAGATAATTTACATATATGTATATATATACCTTGTATTGGTTTACTTAAAGTTTAACTAACATTGTTTTTTTTTAAATTTTGTGCTCATATTTAAACAGTTTTATGGACTTTGTGTACAGGTGAAACTAAACACGCGAAATGTTTGTCGTATGTATACATATGAGACTAGCTACTAATGTCAGCTATGAATCTTTTCTTTTTATTAAGAGCTTTTATAAACTGAATTAAATTTTCTCACTGTAATGTTAAATTTAACAAATTATAAATTAAACTTTATTCGAAATATCATATTTTGAAATATCAGACGGTGTGAAAATAAAAGTACGCAACGTTTTGAAGAAGGCGTGGTGACAAAAATTTGGTATCAATTGCCCAGATTAAACACTCTACTAAATCGATTAATTGATCAACTGACCGCCTGTACACAAGTCAACTTCTGTGTTTACCAACCCAGGGTAAAATATTGCACTCTTATCGTAACCTGATCAAATTTTTCCTAATACTTGCGGATTTACCGTTGTAACGGGTAGATCGTGAGAAAAAATTTTTGTTTTAACTTTAAACAAGGGATTTATAACTTGTTAAGGTAAGATATGGAGATTATCACTTGTTTTCGATTATATCTTTTGTAATTTATTACGGTGAGAGTTAAGATCTGAGCTTTTGTTAGTTGATCTTTCTTGTAGATATAACATTATCACGTTCCCTCTTTTGTTTTAATTGAAAATAACTTTGATTCTTTTTTATTACTCTACATTCCTATTTTAAAGTCAATTGTTTTCTTTTTCTCAATATTCAGTTAGCATTGACCTCCACGTTTTAATTGGAAAATCTGTCGTGGTTGTTACTCTTTGTAGAAGCAATCATTTTAAATATTTTCTATCAAAATCAAAGTACATGCAACGTTGCATGCATTTATCGAGTTGCACTATATGGGAATAGTTTTAAACACCGTCGGTACATGATATTTGAACATCAACAGTTAACTAAACTACTGTTTCCTAAATTTATGCTTTCAATTTTTGGTCTGATTTTGTTTTAATCAATACCAAAATATAGTAATTTTAAATTCGATATTGATATAATTTAGTTAGTTTTGAAGTTGATAGAACTATTAACCAACAATAAATCATACCACATGTCTATTAGACATTTTTTGCTATTCTTTGTCTGCGCAGAATAATGCATAAACATTTAGCCTTCCAAATATTTCGCATCGAGCTATTGAAGGTTATACTAGTTTTTAAACAACTAATTAAGAATCGGTATGTCTACACGATAAACTATTTAAAGGTGTTCAACTTCTCGAGAGTTTCAAATTGTAGTCATTCTCTGATAAATCATGTTTAAACATGAATTAAACGTAACTGAATTGACTTGATATAATGTATCTGAACGGTTCAAAAATTTAGATAGAAATTTCAACAGGTTCTTCTTCACAGTACTTTGTCTGAACATTCCAAATGGAAATGAGATTTATTTTTTTTTCAAAAAGGCGGAAAATACCAAGGTGATATTCAAACTTATAAGTCGAGAACATTTTACAAGCCATGGCAACAATCAGAAGACGACGAAAAAACAAACATATTCCCAAAACACTACATAGAAAACTAAAGACTGTTCAACACGAACCTAAACAAAAACATGGGAGTGGTCTCAGGTGCTCCAGAATGGTATGCAGATCCTGTTCCAATAGTGGCATCTATCGTGTTGCTCATGATTGGTACAAATTCGGTGATGAGTCTCATTTTGTAAAAAAGTTGTTTACTAGTTAACATTAATTATTAAGTATATCTTGTATAATTTCCACAATAATTAAGGAAAAGATAGATTGATGATAAATTGATAATGCTCAAAACCGATTAGCTTTTAAATTCGAAATGCCCTTTAGCTAAGGACAAAGTTAGATATAAACCACTGCTGACCGTCTCCAAAGAATAAAAAATATGAGACAATTTGCATCAATATTTAATTAAGTATATCATTCTATTACTTTTATTCGTGCTCATATCAAGAGACAGGTTCAGTTGATATTAAAAGGTATCCATGTAATCATTTATATATATATATAAATTGCGGTTTTTATCCAATGCAATCATAGGTTTGAACGTTGTTTTCAATTTAGACTTGTATATATATGTGTGTGTGTGTGTAAACATCAAAGGTTCTAGGAAAGATTTCATCACCATTTATATATATTGATGTACTGATTTTCCTCTAAAACTACGCCATTTTCTTCGTCTTCCGTGTACTTTTGAGGAAATTTGTGAATGACCCATAATGATCAGTCTAATTATATAGGTTATCATTAGTTGATGCAAAAGTAATCAGGCATAATACGCCACGTCAAACAAGTAAATATAATTACAGTTTGTCAAGTTTTGAATTATTATTGTAACAATCTTTCCAACGAACTTACAAATATGTGTATTAAAGAGTCGATGGTTACATTATGTAAATCGGTAAATTTAAGAAAACAAGGTAAAAAGATAGTCCTTAAAAAAAATAAAAATATATATTGTATGGGATTATGTTTATAACATCAATCAGAGGCAAAATTGGTTCACCGATGTTTTAAACTTGTGAAATTTTTTTTGAATATACCTCTAAATGAAGCGAGACAGACTGGATCGACGAGGTAGCGTCTCCAGTAGGTGTTTCCTGTCAAAATTTCAACCACAAACCATTTATACTTCTCTTGAGAACCAAACCTCTTCTTGCCAGTCGGTTTAAGGGAATAATCTATGAACAATGATATCTGATGAATTAACTTTGAGGGACCTCGATGGCCAAGCGGTCTAAGTAGTTTATCTAAAGTGATCACTAGCCTGTCGACACTGAGGTTTAGGCAAGGTTTGTTCGACTTAGATCTCAATTGCCCAGGATTTCCAGTTTTCCTGCTGAATGTCAGTAAATCTTTTCATACATTCCGGTTACACCCACAATAGAAGCTGGTTACTATGACATAGCCAAGTGTGATGAAAGTGGCGTTAAACACCAACAATTAATCAATCAAATCTAACTGACCTTTTAAATTGATATTCTTTTTTTGGGACAAGTATTAAGACAATGGCAAGAGTTATGCAGGAATATTTTTGGCTATTTAAAATATCATACCGCTGTCTAAGCATCTAAGAGAGAACGAAATATTAAAAAATATACTTATAAAAATAAGAATGATACAGAAATACAGAGTTCGTCATCATGAAAATATATAAATAAGATACCTTTATGCTGATTTAACCTATCTGTCAACTGAATTCAGTATACTACCTACATATTTGAAGTGCATTTACTAGATGTGGAATGACATAATTGATACTTATATAATAATCTTTGTCGATTTGACATGCTGTCAATCTGATAGTTATCTACCAGCAGAACAAAACACAAACGGAACAAAATATCATTGCCCGTTGATGACCCAATGCGCTCCTAAAACCTTTAAAATGCTCTATTATTTTTTATTTAAAAGGTGACAGATTATGTTATAGATATGTCTCATAAATAATGTAATGAATACAAATCCTTTTACTACAGTACAACTTGATCTGCATCAATTTGTACGTGATGTATAAGACACAAAACCAAGGTCGGATATATATAAGGGTAATTGTTGTGGTTTTTTAAGACACCTGAATATAACTTACAAAGTAACGTTCATCCGTACCATAATGAAAATCATATTATATTTTGGAGGTCATAACTTTCAGGACAAAAAAACTAAGAGTTTGACGTTCAATGCGATCATCAGAAATAGGATGCTTGAAAGATTAAGTATGACGTTATTTCATGGTGACATACAATTAATTCCAACAGTCCAACATTAAATAGGTTGCAGATTTTAACGTTTCTACTTGATATTTATCTCTTTTTACTATTTATAGAGACTGAAAAGAAACATATCATCATAACCTGTTTTACATGTTAAAGAAAAACTATGTTTCACAAACTTCTTACAACTTTTAATCCATACCTACATTTATATATTTTCATTATAGGCTATTTTATGTTTTGATATATTCCATATGTATTTAAGAGTTTAGAACATCGGTAAGCTACTGTTGTCTCTCATTTGTATTTGCAATGAAATACAACTATTCACCAAAAGACCCAACGACATGGAGGTAAACAATTACATGTCACCATACTCAACCTTTTTGGGTATTTGTACTAGTTGATTCTCTATCAACATATCGTTTATGAAAACAAAAAGGTTCATTACCTCCCCACTTGTTAAGAAACTTCCTAAATTGACATTTTATAGATAATCATTTTTTTATTTTTTCATTATTTAACGGTTTTGTTTCTCTTTCATGGGTATTCGTGGATTTTATTTTCCATTTTCATTTTTTTTTTCTTTTTATTTGAAAGAGAATTAAAGGTTCGAAGTTGATTTTTTCTTGAAAAGATTTACATTTTAATTTCTAAACGGCTTATTTTTTGCCTAATTGCAGTGTTATCTAAAGAGAATCAGACCAAGTTCACTACACGTATTAATATATCTGGATTGTTTTTAGTTCAGGAATACCACAGTAATATTTTAAAAACCGAAACTTCTTTTCACTATTCTAATTTTATTGAATCTTAATATCAATCAAAGTACAATCTCCCCCAGGCATTTTTATAATTTTAGAAATTAAATTATAAGATTTTGATATTCAGATTAAAGACGATTTTTTAATTTTTTAAATTAAATTAATGATTCTCTTATAAATATCTTATCAAAATAAACGTAAAATATTGAAAAGGTACGAAATTTACATTACCAATATTCCAGTTGATATTTGTATTGTAAGTTTTATTTTGTAGCATTTACAAACTGTCAACAATTATACTAGCCAAACAATACACAGGACAGGTGTTTGTGGACTAGTCTTTGTGAAAGAGATGACCATTAAAGTCCCCAAATAAATAATTGGATGGAAATTCAATGGTCTGTAGACGTGATAATTTTCCACTATATAAGATACGAGTTGTTATAATAATCATCAATAAAAGAGTGTTATTGTTCGTTAAAAACTGTGATTTTTATCAAACAGTAACAATTTATCCATAAAATCTACGTCTAACTAGAACTGACCGCGGTCAAGTGGTTACATATGGCTTCTGGCATTTTAATCTATCTAAATAAATGTGATTAAAAAGATATAAAGCTAAATTCAATTAATTTGACAGGAATACGGATTTTCAAACAACTTTTCTAAATTAAACTCCGATGGGTTTTTTTTCATAAACAAAAATTGTAATTTCTTTGATAATATTGTAATGACCCAGTATTAAGGACAAATATTTAACTGATGATTTTTGTTTCCATTAACGTATCTCTATATGTTCAATAAAATAAATATTGGTAATCAAAATCTATAAATTCACGAATAGTTAGCCGTCAAATATTTCCTTAATTACATAAAAATAAAGATTTTAATAAGTCTGCTAGCATCTACAACACAAACACAATGATTATAGCCAGGTCAACTTTCCTACCATGGATTGTAGACACTGTTGTAGCTGTTTTCAGTTACAACTAAGTAGTAACTGCGCAAATGAGGACATCAAGGGATGTCCAAACGCTGTGTGAATATAAACTAAAATTGTAGACAGTCCAAAACGTAATATAACATTTTATTGAACCAAACAAGCCTTATTTATAATTGAATGTTGTCAGTTAAATATCGCAGTAACAGAAATATATGACTATGCCCACCTAGACCCTCCTATCAAGTAACAGTATGACTAGACAATATAGCAATCTAATAATTACTTGATAACAACGGCCAGTATTGTGCTAATTACTAATAGTTCCAAAAGATGGGATCCGGAAATTAAGTCTGATTGTTTGGAGATTAATCATAGAATTATACATCATATTCACATTCTGAGCAAATGATTGTTCCATCATCATTGTGAAATAAAAGAAAATATTGCACCAGTTTTGATGGCGTATACAAATATTCGATCTTCAACTTACAGTAAAAAATGGAATCATAGAAAACTATTTACTATTAGCTTCAGATGATTTACGAATAGTGATTTATCATAAAGTGATGTTCATACATACATCACATTTTAAACTAACAAGAGATTTATTTCGGGACTATTTTTCAGATTTTGAGTGAACTTTGAAAAATAAACACTCGTAGACCAAAAGAAGACAGTTCTATAAAGACACTTTTTAATATCCTTAAATTTCAAAATCACAAATATAACAATCTATCAAATAATTTCTTTAGATGTTACACAAAACATCATTCTGATAGATATCAGTCATAATATGATTGAATGATGTCTTACATATTCAATTTAGCTGTTAAAATTTCTTTGATGTATGAAAATACTGCAAAAACTACAAAAAATTTCCTCATTTGCAGCTTTCTATTTATTCTTATATAAGAACCACAGTCTTCACCTGAATAAATCTTGGTAAATTTGCCATTTTCTGTGTCATAGATGTGAACTTAAGCATCTTAATGACGCCATGGTGACATCATAAATGAAGTTACTACACTAAATCATTCTGTTCATCTAGCAACAAAATTAACATTATGTTTTATATTTTCAAGAATACAAGAATGTTACTATTTCTGCTATTTAAGTGGTCATACTATGGGTCTTGCCATACTCAACACTTATAATTCACATCCCAGGCATTAAATTGTCGTTGACTTAATGAACCTAGCTTTTTTTGGTACTTTACGGTACTAGCAAAAACAAAATAACTCGTTAATAATGTATAAAGACATTTCCATTGTGAATGAAATTTGTTGTGAAGAATAATAGTGAAACATATGAAATTTCACTGTATTTGAAGCACTTTTCTCGAATAATCTTCATAAATAAATCATCAGGCCAAGCTTTCGATAATTCAAATAAGCAAGATTACAAGGGGGTATGTCTTAAATGAAATGATCATAACCGTTTGAATTCAACTGTGCTCCGTCGAATTTGGAACGTTTTGCGTTGTGCTAAAAAGATAAAAAATATTTTGCTGGCAAATGTTTCCCCTTCAAATGTAATTTTTAACAGTTTTTTTCATCTTCATTGCTTTATGAGTAACTTGATGATATACGTTTTGTTTCAAGTCTTGTTAGAAGAGTTCCTGTCTATTGGTTGCAAACATTACCAAAAACGTGCAATGCATTTGTATTAAAAATTATAATATGTATTTCCAAGTTTTAGATAAGTAACATCAAAAATTGCATTTTTTCTCATTTTTTTGTTACTTTATTTGGAGGAGGATGTAGTATTCCAACATTTTACTTACTATTATTTTTAAATGTGTGATTCACTGTCGCGGTGCAATCATTTTATAATTAATTTCTCATGAAAAAAAGAAAAAGAATGACACCGTCAGATCATAAGTAAAAATATGAAAAATCAAAATAATATTTAATAACGAATGGTTTAACCTTTTAACACATATACATAAATTTTGGTAGTTGTATTTATATTTATTTTAATACAGTGTCGTGGAAACAGAAATTTTACGTTTTATTAATTCTATATTGATCATATATTACCAGTTTATGGGGATATAATTACGCATCAACTTTTACATGAAAATAGCGATAATTATTCGAACAATTTGGTAAATAACGCGATTTTATTGCATTTTCGCCGCAATATGCTAAAATAAAATCAATCTTAAACACTTGTTTGAACTTAATTTTTGTCCTCAGTGACCAATAAAATTTGCCGTTCCTACTTATACCACTTAAAGGATTTTTACTATACCGTATGAATTAGATGGTGTACAAATTTACGAAAAGGGAAAAATCAATGTCAATCAATCCTTCAGTAAAGACCGTAAAATCTAACATGCATATACACAAATAATAGGGTTTAATCGGATTTCTTCACAATAAGTAAACTGTTACTTGTCTATCACAATTCACTTCTTTTCCAGGTGTTCCGTCAGGCCAACATTTAAACTCAAGCAGTGTGGTTTTTAGCTATCTGTTGATCTTTCCGATTGTCTAAACTGAAGATATTATCAGTACTCTATAGTTTTATATGCTTTTCGTTAGTGGGCCGAACTGTCATTAAAGTAGTAGGTATAAATTTGACGTCATGTTCAGACAAACTCTCCAATCAGAGACCAGAATTCTGTTTGGGTAAGGAATATGCTTCAACTAGTGTCACATGGTTCATCCATTTACCGGAAAGTCAGGAACTACAAAAGTATCAGGAATACATCACTTTTCATCATGTTACATAACTGTGAACGAGAGTTGACTTCGGAGGTCAAACGACATATTTACAATTTATCAGAAACATGCAGAAAAATCTTAGAGATTACAATTTCAAACAGTGGAAATAAGTCTTAAAGAATGATTTAAGTTATTTAATTAAAATATATAAGTAATTAATTTGTAATGTAGAAAATTATAGTAACCTGGCGTTCAAGTAGACACTGTCAAAGTCTGTAAACGCCAAATCATAAGTACACGGAATGCTTTCAAATAGGATAATTAACAATACTCTAACTGGATATTTTGTCTTGTTCTTACTAATTGGTTCATCCTTACAATGTGGTCCTACCCGAGGACCTGGAAGGCGGCGGAGGCCGGGTAAAATGACAGTTCTTGTTTATAAGCAACATGTTCCAAATGTCTCAGAAAACACGATTGGTGCAAGTGGAGTTCCAGAAGGAAAAATTTCACGAAATGATCCCAGATTTAAAGATCTTGTGAAAAACGAAAATCCCAACATCATATTCAAAGACGAAGAAGGAACCGGTTCTGACAAATTAATGACACAGGTATGTATTATAATAGTTATTGACAAGATTTGCTAATTCCTGTTTTGTTATTTGGATGAGACAAGAATTATAATTTGTAAAATAAGAGTGTTTAACTGTTCGACTAAATATATTGATTAATTAGCTTCGACATTTTTTTACATGACACAGCATAGGGAGTTTGGGGATATTTTAATGTACTGATTTATACGTTTCGCTAAAAAATATATATAAATGTCTTTGATGTTCACATTTTGTTTGCTTATCTTAAGTTTGCTACACGACTCATTGGTGATTTTTCTTTTTTTTATGTCTTCTCTAGAGTAAATTGATAGTTTTCATTCTATATTTTGACTGGATTGTCTGGATCATATTATTAGATTATGACAAAATCCAAAAACTTGCTGAGTTATACTACCCGTGAAATATTGAATTCATTACTTTTTTAGTTTAATCTTATCAACTAGTTTCTAAAATTCAAAATTGAAAGAGGTTTTTTCAAGGATATTCGTACAAAAATATGCTATCTAACACTGTTCAAAATTGTGCAACCATGGTTCGTTAAAAGAGCATAAACTAACACAAGTTAAATGCCATTTAATCTTTAATGAGTTGTTGAAGTGATAAGTTTATTTGGAGAACATTGAACACTTCACTTAGAATTTTCTTATTGATTTGGGGGTTTTAGATAAATCTAGAGCAAACAAAAAATTTAATAATCACTACATACCATATCTTAATTATCATGTATTTTACACGTTATTTTGCCATATTTTTAGCGGTATATGCAAGAAATTTATTCAACATATGATAGATTCTTTTTCTTAATCATTGCATTGAAAGTAATGGAACAGAATTAAGAATAAACGATAAAAAGTAACGCACATGTTGTTTAATCAAAATATTTCGATCATATATGATTCACAAAGTTGGAAGTGTGTGTTTTATGCTGTATCAAAATCAAAATAATATATTTTTAATATGATTTACTAGTAACCTTGTTGTTTAGGTTAAAATTGAATGTGTATTCATCTGATCTTTTTTTTTGGTTGTTTCGGATATGAACACAATGTAGCCAAATTACAATACGGTCGTCTTCTTTTTACCATGTTGAGATGAAAAAAAACCCAAACACTTTGTCGTACATTGCTAATATTAAATTAATAGTCATTCTTCTAACTCAGACATCAATACTACAAAACCTTATTTATATACACTGACCATACTGTATCACTATAATTCCATAACAAAATGTGGGATTGTTTTTTGTATTTTTACATTATTGCTGAACTTCACACCTTGATGAGTGTATAACCACACAAGATTCTATAACACGAAGGTTGTATACCGATTTAAGAAAGCAAGACGCTTTAGATTTCCATACAATAACATTCGATCAAATATCTGAAATTTAAATTGATTTAATTAAACTTTTACGTTAATTTAGTAATTTACAAAATGTGAATACCTGTTTCAATAGGTATGGGAAACAAATTGTAATATAACATATTTTCATGAATTGTCAACTCTGGGTCAATGGGACCTAAACATGTGTATGTTGCATTTGACGCAATTTTATCTAGAAATTATTTTAACTGCTGTTAAAAATTGTCAACCTAAATACGAACATCATTTGCACTACCAACCGCTGAAAAAATTAACCATGGATGTGTGTTGGTTATTTGTGTCCAAAGGTTGCTGTCTCGTTTTGCTAATCGTACATTTTTGTTGTCTACCTCTATTTGTAGCTTCTAACTGGATTGGTGAGATCTGAACATCGGTAAACTACTGTTGCCTCAAATTAAGATTTAATTTTCATAACATGATTTTACTGATATTAAATCATGGGACTCTCACCATTGGATATGTCTTAAAATTTATTAATATATAATTCCAACAAAGGCATTGATCATAAAAAGAGTCAAACATTTGTGACCCTTAAGTATTACACTATATGTAATTAGCCTATATTGGTTTAGAATATAATGTACAGCAATTTCATCAGCAATTTTTAATTACTATATTTTTTCAAACCAACTTTTCCTCAAAGATGAAATTAAAGTCATTCTGATTAGAGAAAATATAATGGTTGATTCACTGCAAGTGAAATTATTTGAAAATTCAATATTATAATCTATATGCTAACTGTACTTTTGTGCACTTTGAAAGAGGGGCGAAAGACACCAGAGGGACAGTCAAACTCATAGATCGAAAATAAACTGACAACGCCATGGCTAAAAAATAAAAAGACAAACAGACAAAATTATCCCCTTGTCTTCTCATACAACTTAAACGTTTGATGAACGTGAAGAGTATATTTTTTTTTAAATCATTCAAACATGATTTCAATGTACTGCAAAATGCTTGACTCAAATTGTTAAAACTATCTTCTTTTTTTTTGTAGTCTAACTTATATTCATAAACTAAAAATATTGTATTTTCCCTCTATCAGACGACCATTTTCCCCTTAGTATTTGAGAACGGTCAATGTTAGTGTCGAAGTGTACCTATAATTAAATGGCCATGTCTAAAATTAAAAATGCTTTAAAAATTGATTTTTTTTCTTTATTTCACACGTAATACGATTTAAAAGACCATTTCCTTTTGTTCATGCAAATATTTAGTCTTAAGATTTCATTAAAATCGAAATTAACACCGATATCTCCTAATTTTGTTTTGAAACATTTTCACATATTAAACGTGTGTACCAGAAGAAACTCGAGTCAGTTATATTGGTGTATAAGCCTGATATCATTGATGAGTTTTTGCAACTACTGTGTCGATGACACTACTGTGGAAATTCGTCTTCGAATGAAATCGCATGCCCTGTTGTCGGTGCTCCTGTCCTGTCATGAAATATAATTGAAAAGTTCGTTTTCTATGATTTTACTGGTAATAAAACGTTTACAAAAATCAATAAAACCACTTAGGATTTTCTATCCCAATGCAAAGATGACTTCAGACAGATTTGGCACAACTTTGAGCATTTTCGATTTCCAGTGCTCTTTACCATCGTAATTGATGTGGCCTTCACCCTGTTTTGATTCGAGTGCCCCTTATGAGTCTTATGTAGACGAATCATCCGTCTGGTGTATTAAATTATAAGCCTGATTTGATATTCTACGTCCGTATTGCGTTTGGAGAGCTTGGATATTTTTTCTTAGTTTTTAAATCCTCAAATTTCTTACAAAGTATTTTTATATCAAAATTTTTAAAAATTTTAAATAAAATCTGTAAAATTACATATACAAATATACAAAAGTCTCATGGCGAAAAGCTAGCACTACCAATTGATGTCTACTATACATCCGTTGTGCCAATTAGTTTATATTCTAGTTTGTTTAAATAAGCCGCTTATTTTGCTATGTTAAATCTGTTTCAAGAGTTTTTTAATATGAGTATGTAAACTTTGACTGTATCAGTGTTTGTGTATATCTGTTGAAGTCACCACATATTTTAGCAACTATTTTGTTAGAAAGAGAAAATCTTAAAACATCAAATGTCAACACTTGAACTTGGTTTCTGTTATAATCCAATGGTGTCCCAGTAACGAAGTGAATGGTCAGGTATGCGGGCGTTGATTGTGGCTCTATCATAATAGGCGTGACATTATTTTTTATATACACAAGAAAATTGACAAAGACTTTATCGTTTCTTTCCCTATTGAGTAGATTTTTATTTTTAGTTAATAATTCACAATTTGCCTTTGGAAATGTTTCTTCAGGGTGATAATAAAGTCTGTAAAAAGTATGATAATGATAATGCAATTCAACGTAATTGATCATTACCCAAAACAAAACAAAATGATACGTTAACCGTGAGAACATTCAGTGCTTATGGTTGAATCGTTATCGGGTACGCCTGCGACCAAAAAGATTAGAAAGCCAAAAATTAATAAAAATGTTAGATAGCTTACAAAACCAACGGCCCTAAATAAAACAGCCAAAGTGGGCTTCAGTCATATTTCCCTAAGGAAGTTAAAATATTTTTCTTTAGCATAATATTATTTTACTATGAAATGGAAATGTACATACAAAATATATCATTTGAATCATACCAAAAACTAGTTTAAAATGGATCTGAATTATACCAAACAGTGTTTGTAAAAGTTTGAAACCTGTGCCATATATAAAATGTTCTACCTCTAATTTAAGTATCAAAAGGAATAATGGATCATTAAATTTGTATAAAGACAATGAAAAGATCAAGGATCATTACAAAAGTAAACGATCATTTTGGTTTTAAGAATTTACTTCCAATCAAATTCTTATTCTAAAGAAAAGATCAATATCTTATTTCATCTATAAGTCCTTTTAAATTAATTCATTTTATATGTTAAAAAAGTGATACTTTCATATTGAACTTGTTTTCCGTGATAACTACGTAAACCGAAAAAAATATAAGAAAATGTTATGATAAGTGGTATTTGGATGGTATGGTAGATGTGTTTGTTAAATTTGAAATTGTATTTTATTATTTGTATATAAATTTAAAATTTTGACATCTCTCCCAATTAACTGTGTGTATGCCTCCCAACTGGAAAGGTTTTGAGATATATTCATCAATTTGAGTGTGCTTAGTCTCTTTTGTGTGGGTTATGACCAAATTTGTATTCTTTTTCCATTCGGCAAAAAATGAAGCTTTTGAACAAAATATATTACTCTCATTTCAAAGAGGTTAGTAAAATTCGATGGTATGCATTTGCAAGCATTCTTTCTTTCAAAGTAAAGCGCGTCGTACGTAACTATAATTTAGACGTGAAGTGTTATTTTCATTATGAATTTTATACTAAAATTCAATTACTACAGCTTCGTGTGTGCTTTTTAACTGTGTTGAAAATGTAATAACATAATATATGCTTTTAAAGATGACTCTCAAATTTGATAGATTGAAGCAAATATTGACTTCAAGCCTGAAAATTACTTGGAAGGACTTGAAATTCTTTATGTGCTTGTCCCAATTCAAGAGTCTGTAATTCAGTGATTGTCGTTGGTTGTTGGCTATCATGTTTGTTTTTCGTT